AATTAACTTTAAAGACCATAACCAAAAAAAAAAGGGGGGGGATAAATAATGCCTTGGGCACGCGCCAGTTGTGGAGCTGTGGCCTGTTTGCTTCGACCCCTGCAGCAAGGGAGCAGCAGTAAGACGACCATCACCCAACGGGCGGTGTAAATCCATCCTGGCCCCGTTTCGCTCACTTTTCACCTCAAAGAGCCTATTTCCAAATCCACCATGAGGAACGAGCCATGTCTGACGGGCTGGGGCTCGGGTCCAGCCCTGCCCCGGGGACCCGGCCGCCTTGGGCACTCGGTAGCAGGAGGGGACAAACCGCTGTGGCTCCCCACGGCACAATCAGCTTATAGATGTGTATGATAATCTGCCATTTCCCTAACATTTAACAGATTGTCTGGCCCATGAGAAAAGGCCAAAGTGCCTTTATTCTAGCTGAGCGCGCGTGCATTCTTCCCCCGTACAAGCTCAGCTGAGATTTTTCTTTCTTTGCAACATGAGCTCGAAGTTCAATAGTTTAAAGTGGAGTTTTTTCTGCAGCGCTGTGGGGTTTGTTACACTCTCAGGAGTCTGATCCTCCAGCTCCGAGCCGTGATGTGGCATCTGCTGCTACAAGAAGCTGGGGGAGACACGCCATCCCACCCCTCGGCCACAGGACCCTGAGGTCTCTCCAAAGTCAGACTGCAAAGCCCTCAAGATGTGTCAGGGCCCTGAGGGCACTAATGAGCCTTAATGTCCTTGAGGAGTCTCAGCTGGGACCGCTGCCCACACCCATGGGAGCAGGGCCAAGCTATGGGGGAGGATGCTGGTCTTCAGATCAACCATGTCTCCTGCGTGGACCTTGGCCCCATGCATGTATCTTGGATGGACCTTAGTCCTCCACTTGCTCCTTGGATGGACCTTGGTCCTCCACTTGCCCCTTGGATGGCCCTTGGCCCCACACTTGTCCCTTGGATGGACCTTGGCCCCACATTTGTCTCCTGGACAGACCTTGACCCATGCTTGTCTACTGGATGGCTCCCTTGCATGTAGGAGGGGGTCCCCAGCCCCACCTCCGTCCTGTCTTCTGGGATGACCCTGGACCTCATTCACTGTTTGCCATGTCTGGGACTGTTGATGGATCCCTGTTACCTGGCTCTGCCGGCCATGGTCATCCCCTGTGGGACCATGCCCCATTGGCAAGAGCGACATAAAGTAATTTCCACACCCATACCCAACAAAAGCCATGGACGAGCAGAGTGGCTGTTCCTACCTGTGTCTAGCAGGAGCTTTGCAATTGGGAAATTGGAGTGGGAAATGCTGTAGTGAAGAGCCGTGTTGCCGTTCCTGTCGGCCAGGTTCACCACCATTGCCAGGAGCTGGGGCTGGATGGCCCCCAGAGCCTTGAGATACTCTGCGACCGCCTCCGGGCTGGAAGACTGGCGGCTCGACACCTGGAACCACTCCTGGCAGACGGTGCTCAGGACGTGCCGCTGAAAACACCAAGGTCTCACCGTTACCCCTGGGGTAGTCACCCTGCAAACCGGCCACTGCCCCGGCTCCTCGCCCCATGCCACTAGGTCCTGTGCTCTGGCATCGCCCAGCCGGTATTTAGCTTGTGGTTTTGGGATTACTGCTATAACTTAAGGGGGAAAGGAATTTCCTCTGGTAACTTGAATGAGTAAGCAGAGAAAGCCTACAACACGCCGTCAGGATAATCTTATCCATTAAATGTAACAGAGAGCGGGAACCGCGTCTGAAATGGGATTGAAAATTATCTGTACCAGATGCTTGTCGCTTGTGGTCCTGATTTCTGAGAGGTGCTTGCTGAGTAGCTGGCAGTCGGCGAGGAAATCTTCAGACGGTTTGCATCTAAAGGGAAAATACTTTTGTAAAGCCATCATGAGACAGAACTTGCAGGAGGTATTGAAGCAGGAAGGAGAACATGCAGTTTAGGTCAGCAGATGTTCAACACTTATTCAAGTGCTTAACTTTATGGCCACAAGTTGTCCCATTGACTTGACACAGACTTTAGGTACCAAGTTAAGCACTTAAATAGGTGTTTAAGTCCAGAGTCCCAGATCTGTATGGTCAACTTCATCTGTTACAAGAAGTCTTAAAGTGGGGAAAAAACCCCAAAACCAAAAAACAATCTTATTCGTGAATCTGCAAAGAACTTTACCTAGAAACTTTACTTGAGAGGGGAGAAATGAGCTAATTCTAACCAAGTATGACTCACTCCGCCTTTTCCACAGTCAAGCGTAGGGCCTGAATCAATCCCTATTAGATTCTGTAGTAACTCAAAAAACACGTAGCTCTTTAAAGCCTTTTCCCATGGCTACAGAGGTCTGTGGCTGCATTTCCACCGAGCAGATGAAGCACCAACCCCAGCCCTGTAGGAGTGACTGGACGCAGTGCCGTGCGTCCTGCGGCTGCAGAAACGTGATGGAAAGCACGATACTGTCTGGTTTTCTGGTTACCTGTCAGCCTTGTGCTGAGTGCAAGGTCCTGCTTCTGCCGATGGCTCCTGCAGGTCATCGTCCTCACGTCTCTCCTGCGAGGAGGTCCCCGATGAAGCCCCCTCGCTCTCACCTCCAGCTTTCACCTGTGCGGGCTCCAAATCATCGGCTCTTCTCTCCATCTCGCTCTCCGCGTCCCCGTCCCCGTCCGATGGGCTGTCTTCGCAACTTGTGTCTTCGCTTGAAGTCGTTTCGTAGCTATTTGAGGACACCACATGTTATTCATTCCTTCCCCTTCCGCAACCACGGGGCCTGACCAAGACTCATTGAAGACACCCACTGACTCCAATGGGCCTTGGATGAAGCCCGGAGTGATACGCAAGTTAAAAGGTTAGAGCCACAGCCAAATTTGGGGTTAGTCTTTTTTTTTTTTGGCTTCTTAAGCCAGCAGGAGTGTGATAGAAGCAGTTAATTAGCAGCAGGCAAGGTTATTTCAGGGACTACCCGGTTGGTTTGGAGGAACGTCCATCGCACAAGCCCCAGCGCGGCCAGGCAAGGGCTGCGTGCTGCTTCCCTGCTGGGAGCTGCTGGCACGCTGATGGGGAGCCGTGAGAAACACGGACCCTGTGGCAAGGTGGGACAGGCGGCATGTCGGCAACCTCGAGGACGGCTAGACAAAAGCTGTGTTTGCAGCTCCAGCACGGACCTGAGTCCACCATTCGACCAGCCCTGCTAGAGGAACCTCTCTTCTGGCTGTCCAAAAGTATTAATAATAATAACATCTTCCATGAGACAGAACATTTCACTCTGAGGGATCCCAAAACTTTTCTCAAACTACCTGAGATTCCTCTACTCACTACAAGTTGTACCCATTTCAGCGACCGTTGGTAGAAGAAGCTCTACACAACAAGAGCAAGTAATACCTGATGAACCCAACAGCAGTAGCCATCGAGCTGGGAAGCCAGAGAAGCGTATGTCAGCAAAAACCAGGATCCAAACTTGCCCACATAGCTGTTTGCACAGCGAAGAGACAGCGAAATGCGTCCTGCCCTCTTCACGCCAGCACGGGCTCCTCGGTAGAAGATGTGCCAGTGCTGCTCTTAGAGATGAATCTACAGCACACGTTGTTGTATCTAGTTAGCTCAACGGCCAAAGGGTGTTAGATACTGGGAACTGGGTGTTGGAGCACAGCCTAGAATACGGGCCTCCTTCACCCCGAGGTAACTCCTTATTTACTGAAACAGTCTTTTCTCAGTCCCTGAACCAACTTTTGTTGGCTGTCGCTGGAGCGTGGAGGCAGGTTAGCGGCAGCGTGCCCACCCAGGCAATGCTGACCCCCTCCAAAACCCACCAAAGTTAGTGGGAATCTTCCCGTGGACCCAGCTGGGTTTTGGATGAAGCCCCAAAAGATGGGTGTGCAGTCCCCAGGGCGTCCCTCGCTGCACGGAAAACACCAACGTCTTTTCTACAGGGTTACTTACAGGTTATCAGTGCTGGATTAAAGAAGGGAGGAAAGAGGCTCCATTTCAAATGGCCTTTTAATCAAGAGGTTTGGAGGGGAAAAGAGGGGAAAAAAAGAATGACTTCTTCAGCGACACAGAGGACATCACACGTTAAAAGGCAGTTTTATCTTCTGAACGGATGCTTACCCACCATTTACCCCAACAAACTGAAGATTCTTTTTGGTCCCATTGCCTCCTGCATGGAAACCATAACCTTTCTTTTTCATGATAGATTTAAGACTTGTGGTTGGAGAGATTTCTAGCAAAATACAAAATAATAGATTAATTAAGCAGATGTGCCATAATTATCAATTATTATTCCCAACCTCTAGCAACAAATTACAAATCACAGCCGTAAGCATCTTAGTTCATTTTAGGAGATGCTTTTTATGTCTTGCAAAGCTATCGATGCACCTGGCCACAATCAGAACCTGCCCTGCTACTTTTAAAATATGGGTCTCAAACGTCTCCAAGTGACTGGGAGTATAAAGGAATTGACTGGGAATAACATACATGTCCTATGAATATAAGTAGGTTTTACTTTTGTAATAATGTTTTCTTTTTTTATTTTTTTCAATAATAATGTATTGGAAATCTATATAAATCTCCTATAACACTACATGGATGAGTCTTTCCATCAGAGTTTGTATTGCTTATAAGTAAGAGGTCACTTATATATTTGCAAGCCCCACTGACAGTGAACAGGCAGCCTTCGGGTTTGGATTCTTATCTTCATATAAGCTAAAATTATTTTAGACGAACGGCCATGAGTGGGGACAGGTCTTTTCCCAGCCTAGTTGCTCAGTTAACTTGAATTGGTTTTGGTTCTGGTGAACTTCATGCTGATTTACCCCAGATGAGCATGAGTCCCATAACCTTGCACATGGAGATGTCCAATCCAATTAAGAAAAATGGTTATTTGATGGAATAATGGCCACTTTTGGAAATTGATCCTGCATATAACTGAGGCACAGCTTTATCAGCTCCTACATGGTTTTGTTTGCTTTTTTTATTTAAGATCACATAGCTTATGATGTGCAGAGATTTGCCTTTCTCATACATGTTTAGGAGGGGCTATTTCTGATCTGACTGACACTAATTATACCACCGAGCTCCACTGCATCACCCCTGCTCAACGCTTGAATAAATGGGAAGAGATTTGGCCCGGACACGTTGAAACCTATGCCAATATTATTTACCCAACTGTTGATAGCACGTGTTCGAATTCTCCTTATCCGCGGGCCCTTGCGTAGAGTAGGCAGACAGCAACGAGTTTAAGGAATTAACTAATTGGTTCTGAATGGAGCTGAGCTTGGAGGCCGGCTGTTTAATAGCGCTCGCTAACTCGGGGTAGCCGTGCTCCAAACACAGCCACTGCTCCTGCAAAAGCTCCTGGATTTTTTTTACGTATTGACCGATGGGGTCAACAGCAGGGAGATCCTCGTGCTCAGGGGGACCTTCCTCTTCCAGCCCATCTCGAGGTTTATCTTCGCCAAAGCCTGCCCTGTTTTCTCCTGTGTTTGAGCCAATTCTTGCTCCTCGATAGCTTTCTGCAGTCACCGCCTGAGCAGCGAGACCCTGGGTATCGTAGTTATTCCTGTGGTTTTGATTGTCATCGCTGAGGTGCTCATCAATCTTCAGTTGGGTGAAGCACGGTGCACGAAGGCCGGCCTCGATGTCGGCTTCACCAAAATGTCCTGGTCCCTCTCCACCGGCACCAGCGCAAGCGTCTGCCAGGCCCTGATCTCTCTGAGCGCCCGGCTCCATCGCCTGCGCGTTCATGTTGTCTGCTCTGCGGACGCTGCATCCTATGGATTTGGTGGAGACCGGGATATTTACGTTGATGCCTTTATCATGGGCTTGCTTGGCGCCAGTTACCTGCGAGAGGTCAGTGTTCACCGCAGCATCGTGCTGCTTGGCCTCTTTGGTGTTTTCCCGGCACAGCTTCTCTTCCAGCTGAGCTTTGGAGCTGGCCAGTAACTTAATGCTTTTCTCCTTCTCCTTGATCTCATGATCCTGCTGCTCCAGCACTGCCCTGATCTGCTCGAGCTCTTCTTTCTTCTTGCTCAGCTGCTCCTCCAGAGCAGCAATCTGCTGCTTCAGCACGACGACCCCGCCGGGCTCCCCTGCCTCACGAGGCTGAGGACCGCAGCTCTCCTTGTCCTCTCCAGCCTGGACGCTCC